TAGCACATAGTGAACAGAGAGACGCCAAATTCGATACATAAAAGACTGCCCATGGACCATTAAGAAAAGAGAGACGACCCAACGGAAAAGCAGGCAGGACACAGAAATAAGCCCCTCACAAAGATGATATGAAACGGCCATGAGCCCGGCCGGTGTGGCTCCATGGGCTGAGCATCCTCCCAGGGACTGAGAGGTGCCACTTCGATTCCTGGTCAGGACACGTGCCCGGGTTTCAGGCTCAATCCCCAGTGGAGGACGTGCAGGAGGCAACTGATCAATGATTCTCTCTAACATTTTTTTAAAATGTCTGTCACATCAGTGTTTCTCTCTCTCTCCCTTCCTTTATTAAAAAAAAAAAAATGTTTAAAAAGTGCTCAACCTCACACTAATGGCTTTAAAAAGAAAAAAAGATCTAAAAGGAGAAACATCTGTAACAAAAATAAATGAATTACTAAACATAAAAAAGGTCCGACAGTACCAGTGCCAGCAATGATGAAGAACACGTGGAATTCTCCTAAGCTGCTGATGGAAGCGTGATGATTTCCATCACGCTGGGGACTGCTTGGCAGCACCTGGTAGACCGGAATGTGTGCATAACACAGCGATGCCTCCCACAGGTACAAACAACAGAAAGGGAGGCACACAGCCTGAACACAGGTACGACAGCACTCACAGTAACATTGCTCATGGTCCCCCAGAACTGAGATCCACCCAAATGCACCCACGAAAAGGTCACAGTTGTCCTGGTACGACAGTACTCACAGTAACATTGCTCATGGTCCCCCAGAACTGAGATCCACCCAAATGCACCCACGAAAAGGTCACAGTTGTCCTAGGGCAGTTGCAACTTATACCTGTTATCCTGGCATGACTGTTAACAGGGTTGCTGTATACTCCCCAAATTACCTAGCCTCTCAGTGTCCCGGTGATGGCCCTCAGTGCAATGGGGACGTCAGGACCTCAAAAAGCCACTCCTCTGTAAAAGCACTAAGAATACCGGCAAAAACTGTCAAAATAAAATTTGTCAGAACTCTGGAAATTAGGTCTTGCAACAATCTGAGGTACACTTATTGGGAAAATGGCCGAATCTCAATTAAGAACAGCCAAGTTGGGAGCATTTTAGTATGTCCTGTTCCCATCCTCATCTCCCCTATCTCCACAATCAAGTGAAAACCAGCAGTCTAGCAACCACTGAACTGGGCAGAATGGATCTGGGGCCCTCTGACGCACCATTCTCAGGAACAGTCACTATTTGACCCTGTTGGCCGTTCACAGGAAATCCCCATTCATGGGGCTTGTTGCGAGTTGACCTGACTCAGAACTCATTCTTGCAAAGAGCCTTTTCTCCAGTCTGCACGCCAAGGGGACAGAGCTCAGAGACCACCTGCTGACTGACTCCTTGGCCTTGGCCTCCTGGGCCCCAGGAGTGGGAGAGAACCCCTTCTTTCCTTTAGGCCCCCCGTCTGGGGTACTTTGTTACAGTCCCCCTAACACAGGGCCCCGTCTCGGAACTCAGATTCCGCAGACATGGGCATAACCCAGAAAGTGGGTTATGAAAAACAATCAGAAACAACTGCTTAATATCACAGCTGCCTGAGGTTGTGATAACCGCGGAGAAAAGGAAGAAGCTGACCAAGAAACTTTAGGAACGACCTGAAGAATAAGATGGCCATGGTCTTGAGACTCTAGAAGGTCACAGACATGTATAGGACTGTGCAAATACCCAGAAAGCCCTGAGAAGGTCCTAAGCTCACCCCTCTGGCTGACCTTGAAGCTCTGTGTTTATTTGCTACCTGAGTGTTGAAGACATATACACAGAGCTCTTCAGGACTGAGAGACATGTAAGGAAATCGCTCCAATCATTAGCTGACCACTAAACTAACAGTTCAGTGGACACACAAGACAAAGAATGAAGATTTTACACATTTCGGGAAAGTCACTAAACAAACAAGCAACAATAACCAACGGCAACAAATCCTAGAGAGGGGGTGAGATCTGATTTCAGGAGTTGACATAGTGTACTATGGTAAGTCCTCACTAAACGCCATTGACAGACTCTTGGAACTGTTTCGAAATTATGTATCAACAAAACCACTTTTACCATAGGATAATTGATATAACCAAGGGTTAAGGTCCGATGGCATTTCCTCAATGTCATATCAACACAACATTGAATGAAATGATGTTATTACAGGACCTGCTATATTTAAAATTTACTATTTTCAACCAGAAAAGTAGGAGACATGGAAAGAAACAACAAAGTTTAGCATGTATCCAAGACAAGAAACAGTCAGTAGAAACTGTCCCCAAGAAAGTACAGAAGGTAGATTGTTGGACAAAGACATTCAATCAACAACTTTGCATATTTTCAAAGAACTGAAGAAAATCATGTCTAAAAAAGTGAAGTATGAGAATGATACCTCACCAAATAGAAAAATATCAACAGAAAAATTTAAACCAAAAAAATTTTTAAATTTTTTTTCCTTTATTGATTTGAGAGAGGGAGGGAGGGAGGGAGGGAGAGAGAGAGAGAGAGAAAAACATTGATGAGAGAGAACATGCCTCCTGCATGCTCCTCATGGGGGATCAGGCCCACAACCTGGGCATGTGTCCTGATCAGGAATCAAACCAGCAACCTTTTGGAGCAGGGTTGACGCTCAACCACTGAGTCACACCGGACAGACAAACCAAAATTATTCTTAAAGAAGCAAATATAAATTCTGGAGTTGAAATTTAGAATAATTGAAGGGAAAAATTCACCAGAGGAGCTCAAAAGGAGATTTCAGCTGGCAAAAAAGGAATCCGTGAACTTGAAGTTCATTCGCTGGGATTATACCGTCAAGAATACCAACGTTAACATCATGGGAGTCCCAGGAGGAGAAGAAAGAAACGGAAAGAACTATTTGAAGAAATAATGGCTGAAAAACTTTACAAATGTAATTTAAAACACAAACATTTACACACACACACGCACACACACATTGAAGAAGCTCAATGAATTCCAGATCCTATAAACTGAAAGAAATCAATAGTTATAAACATAATAAACCCAAACTGTTTAAAGACAAAACAAAACCCCCAAAGCAAAAGGAAAGCAGCAACTCCGCTAGACAAGGGATCCTCATAATATTTACAGCCGATTTCTCATCAGAATCCACAGAGGCCCAGGGCAGTGAAATGATCTTTTCAAAACACTGAAAACTGTCAACGATGAAGTTTTTTTTTTTTAGCCTCATCCGAGGACATTTTTCCATTTTTTGTTCAGATAGAGTGGGAGGGGGAGACAGAGAGAGAGAGAGACACAAACACTGATGTGAAAGGGACACATCAAGTGGCTGCCACCCACACAATCCAACCAGGGCCGGGGATAAACTGCAACGGGGGTACATGCCCTTAGTGGGAATCAAATCCGGGTCTCTCTGGACCGCAGGCCAATGCTCTAACCGCTGAGCCAAACCGCTGAGCCAAACTGGCCAGGGCGTCAAGCATGAATTTTATATCCAGCAAAACTATCCTTCAAGATGAAGAAGAAATAAAGACATTCCCAGATAAACAAGTGCCCTGGCTTGGATAACAAAGTACATAGTCACTCTATTAAATGAGTAGGCTACACGTGTGAATGTGGGCATTGGGTGGCTTACAGGGTGCTAGAAACTTCTGTTTCATGACCTGGGTGGTGATAACAGATGCACTTTGTGATACTTCATTTAACAAAACATGTATGTTTTGTGTAGTCTTCTGTGTGTGTGGTTTGTATCATAAATTTAAAGAAAAAGAATAACAGATTTTTTTTCTCTGTTCACAAATAAAATCACTAGTTTACATTTATTACTGTAATTTCCCAAATGGAAATAACTTTAGGGCCCAAACCCAGAAACTCAGTGAAAGAACCTACTACTCTCTCCCAGGACTTTGTTCCAACTGTCTCTTCTGCATGGAATGCCCTCTCCGCCCACTTCTCATTCACCCCTACTCTCTAATATCCACTGTCAGACCTGACCACACCATGAAGATCTTTTTCTGTGTCTGTCTCTAGTATAATAGGTAAACACTTTTTGTTTTTTTGTTTAATCCTCACCCGAGGATATTTTTCCATTATTTTCAGATAGAGTGGGAGGAAGGAGTTGAAACAAAGAGAGAAACATCTACATGAGAGGGACACATCAACTGGTTGCCTCCTGCATGACCCTGACCAGGGCCGGGAACTGAACTTCAACTGAGCTACGTGCCCTTGACCAGAGTCGAACCTGTGACTCTTCGGTCTGTGGGCCGCCGCTCTAACCACTGCTCAGCCAGGGCAGTCAACTCTTTTAAGTATGGGAACTACGCCCAAGTCTCCTCTGTCTCCCCAAGAGCAGGGCCAGCAACGGCAGCAGAGAATCAAGGTCTGTGCAGCCCGACTATGGAAATGGCTGAAGGCAGGCTCCGGATCAAACACCACCATGAGCTCTAGCACAGCTATCACAGCTGAGCAAACTCAGAGGGTGCCCTACAAAAGCAAGTGGGAAGCCCAAAGTCGTCAGCAGGTCAGCATCGTTTAACACAACGAATAGTCACACTCCAGAGCACCAGGTACAAAGATTTGGTAAGACGTAAAGGAGAAATGATTTGGGACTAGCCAGTCTCTTCTGAAATGTCATTATTTTACTTTAGGAGAACTATTAAAAGAACATGCCAGGATGGAACAAACGATACGTCAAATCCTGTCTACATCAAGGAATTCCGATCCCTGTTCTAAAGTGCGACAGACCTGATATCCAGACCATGACGGAAAGTCCCTCAGCCGCGGGGTGAACAGGGCAGGTTCTCAACGCCACTCACTCCCTGCACCCCCTCCTGGGCCTGCACAGGAAGCTCCCGGGGCCCAGTCGCTCCCGGGACTCCGTCTACATGTGGCGCTTGTTTCTGCAAGGAGCCGCCGATACAGCCCACCAGGAAGGGAACCCAGGGTGGGGTCACAGGCCGGAGGGCAAGGGGCTGGGTCAGAGCGCCCAACAAACCTGGAAGAGGAAGGCGTCGCCCAGAGAGTTGCTGAGGCAGAAGACGAAGTCCTTCTTGGGGTGCTCGGGCACGGCCTGCACGATGCTGTTCTCCACCCACACGGCGTGCTTGGGGACGCTGGCCGGCTCGATGCCCGAGCTGCCGTCACTCTCGTAGAACAGCAGCGTGCAACCTGAGGGCGAGACAGGCCACGTGAGAACCGGCAAAGGGCTGGCGACAGTGTGCGAGTCCAGGGAGGGAAGGAAGGGGCCGGGAGTCGCGCGTGGGCTCAGAGGAAAGCGAAGATCTGAAACCGCGGCGTCTTGGCCCCACGGGACTGTCACGCAGGCCCTCAGGTCTTTAGAATATTTTATACGGGTGTCCTCACACGCACATTGGGGTCTTAGGGCTCCTTGGCCACTGGTGAGGGTGAACTCAATACCACAGAACTGTGTCGAGCGCCGGGCAAGGACTGGCCTTCCCTGTGCGTCTCACGAGACACGCAACCAGGACACGCAGTGGACTGGGCTTCTTGGCCACCCCGTCGGAGAAAACAAGGTACTACGCTGGCTTCAGGGGTCAGGAAAGAAATGGTCGGCTTTTAGTCTCAGGTCTTTTCTATCTACTTGCAGGTGTGGGAAGGAAGGGGTGAAGGGTGCTGCCGGCACCAGTGGGCGGGGGACAGGGCTGCCGCTCAACGTCCACAATGCCTGGCACAGACCCCAGAGCGCAGAACTGCCGGACAATGCCACCCTGCCCTGCTGAGACCCCTGCCTGGCGTGACCCTCGGACCTGACACCACACTGACGAGCAGGCACAACTGAAGAGCAGCGAGCCGGGCGGGGCTGAGGACAGAGGGAGCCTGCAGGGCTGAGCGGGGCGCCCACAAACGCTGGTGTGCACACTCACTGGACACCTGGTGCTCTCCCCAAACCGCTGGTCTTAAAATGCTTCCACTCTGGCTCACACTCACCAGGACAGCAGATGGTTCAAGCAGGTTTTTCCTCAATTACCCACTTGTTCCAGCTTTCAGACCAGCGCGAGGCAGCAAGTTGGGGAGCCGCACGCTCCCCGGGCACAGGCGTGTGCCCTCACCTGCCCCTGGGCGCCACCTGCATGCTGGCTGGAGCCGCGCCACAGCCTACTTCCACACGAAACTGTTTTCAAAGTTAATTATTCCGTCTAAAGGGAAAGGCTCCGGAGAATCCCCGCCCCAGGCCCGCGCCCCGAGTTCGCATCCACGTCGCCGGCAGCAGCGCCCGCGAGTGAGCAGCAGGACAGCCCGCGTGTCCCTGTGGGTGGGAGCCCGGCAGGATGAGGCGGCGCAGGGCTCGGTGGCTCTGTGCCCTGGTCCCGACAGATGGCCACTCAGATCTGGGTCACCACCAGCAGGAAGCTCCTCCTCGGAGGGCTGGTGAGCTGCCTGAGCGCCCGCCCCCGCCCGCCTCGCTGTCCTTCCCTACGGGAACAGCAGACACAAAGCAGCCCCCAGGCCCCACGTGAACGAGAGAACACCTCAGGATTGTCACCCAACACGGCTGCCCCCAAATTCACCGCAAGAATCACCAGGAAGCTTGTTCAAACCACAAACTCGGGGCCTGTCATGGGCTGGATTATACCCCCCCCCAAAATTCCTAGGTTAGAGCCCTAACCCAGAACTCAGAGTGGTCTGAATGAGAGACCGTGTCTCTAGAGGTGATTATGGTAAAGTGAGGTCAGGTGGGTGGCTCCCAATGGAACACAATAGCTGCCCTTAGTAAGAAGGGAACTTGGACCCAGACAGGTGCAGAGGAGCCACCTTGTGAGGACAGCGAGGAGCCGGCGTCTGCACGCCAAGGGGACAGAGCTCAGAGACCACCTGCTGACTGACGCCTTGGCCTTGGCCTCCTGGGCCCCAGGAGTGGGAGAGAACCCCTTCTTTCCTTTAGGCCCCCCGTCTGGGGTACTTTGTTACAGTCCCCCTAACACAGGGCCCCGTCTCGGAACTCAGATTCCGCAGACATGGGCATAACCCAGAAAGTGCCTCCGGTGAACAGGACCGGCTGGGTGTGGGGTGTCCTGCAAATCAGGCACTTAAACTCGGCACGAATTTCAAAAACCAACAGCAGGCGGCTGCTAAGAGGCTGTGGGGGCCAGTGCTGTGGCCGAGGCTGTGGAGGCCAGTGCTGTGGCCGAGGCTGTGGGGGCCAGTGCTGTGGCCGAGGCTGTGGGGGCCAGTGCTGTGGCCGAGGCTGTGGGGGCCAGTGCTGTGGTCAGCTACGGGAGGAGCAGGGGTGAGGCAGGGTCCGTCTTTCTCCTTCATCTCACCTCACCCCACCCCCACGGCTGCAGAGCAGCCGGCACGATCCAGGCCCTTCAGACACGGCCTTGTGGCGCCTCCAAACTCAGGCCGGTCACACAGGAGCGAGGACGGCAGCTCTCAGAAGCCCCCACAAGGTGACCCTCTGTGCTCCACCAGTGGGTGCCCCCCTCAAATGCGTCTCGCTCCCACTCACAGTGAAAACCAAAGATCAAGGCGTGCGTGGGTGTGAGCTGACAGGACTGTCCCCAAGTTTAATGTCCTCACTGCATGCGTGTTCAGCTTTTAGTATGTACGTTACACGTTGGGTAATAGGGCATTTAATTTAGCTCAGCAGGTAAAATTCAAAGTTTAATATCGATCTCCGATGCAGTTTTCCACAGAAAATACTGTGACTGTCCGGATTCTGCTTTTTATTCCAAATTCAAATCACTGAGGCAGACTCTGAGGGTGGAAAGGACCTGAAAAGTACCCGACTATCCCGGAGACATTCTGGGAAGGGGAGCCAGGAGAAGTCAGAACCCACAAGTCTGATAACTGGACATGAAAAGGAAGATGCATCCCACCCCAAAACTGCAGCAGCATTGGACACACAGGCAGGAGAGTCCCCCGTGGGGCTGTGTCCCCGGATGCCGCCATTCCCGCCTCCCTTGCAGCTAGGCCTGACTCACTCCAATGGCAGCGAGTCAGAGGCAGGCATCTTGCAGGCGGTGCCTCACTTCCCCATCTACCCGCTGGCACGCGGACCTGCTGCTGAGCTAGCTCGGCCAGACGGACAGACAATGCTCCAGGAACAGCTGAGCAACGAGACAGGAGGCCCGGCCCCTGATGACTCCGCAGGGAAGGAGAACACCAGCCTTGGGTGGTATGGCTCTGGGAGGTGGGAGGAAATCCGGTTCTGTCTTGCGTAAGACCTTGGAACTGCGGGTCACGGTGACAGGACAAGACCTATTGTCTAATTAACATGCTCTCTTCCTGCTTCCCCAGGCATGAAGTAACAGCTGACCCAGGGGTAATGGGCCGCCCCCCAAACCCTGCTCGTCCCAGGGTGCACAGCGCTCTCCCGGTTCTGTGCCTCTGGGCTCGGCTGCTCCCACAGCAGCCAGAGGGTGGACTCCAGGATCACACGGTCAGTGTGTGCACCACACCAGGCAAGCACCGTCCTTTGCAGTTACCCACTCATAACCCACCCCGCCATACACTGACCGTGTTCCAGACTGCCCACGACAGGAGGCTAAGGGGCTGGAGGAGGGCTGTTCTCTTTGAGACCAGAGCCCACGTGTTACGATTCTTACTACTGAGCACGTGCAGACGTGCACAAGAGTACACACCGATATGCACACTCGGAACGTGTGGAAATGACAAGAGCCACATACACAAGGCTGACGTAAGCGGGGAAGAGACAGCGATATATACGTGTAACTAGACCTATGCACACACCCTCTCAAATACTCAAGGCACAACTGAAATACGACGTTCCACAGACACACGCTGGCTTAGATGGTCCATGAAGCACAAAGCTGGACCCTATGAAACACACAACATTCTATTATGCTTTGAGCTAAAAAAAAAAAAAAAAAAACGGCAATTCCAGAGGATCCAAGCTAATGATTCCCCTCAAACGGTCACTTCAGGGGGCACCTGGCTAACCGGAATGGAAGTGCCTTCTCTTCTCCGCATCCCCTGAAACTCCTCAGACCCAGCTGTATACAGGACCCCAGACCGGAGCTGCTCCTCCAGCTGAACTGTGGAGGATCCGGACCACAGAGTAGCGCCAGGAGGGGACTGGAGGCCGGGACCCAGGGACGAAGTTTCAGGGAGGAAGACAACTGGGTCCCGGAGCCCAGCTGCACAGCCTGTGCCTGTCCGCAGCGGGGGAGGAACCGGCACGGCGTCGGTGGACAGACATCACGTGACTACTCTAAGCGCAAGGCACTGATGTTTAAGCCAGTATCTATGACGACACCATCCTGTGCGCAGGCGCGGTGGAGCTCACAGGGAATGGGACGGAGACGCGGAGGGGCTCACCTGGAGGACACAGAGCTCACAGGGACCACGGATCCCACGTGGAGCTCACCTGGGACTCACCTGGGGGCACGTAGAGCTCACCTGGGGGCACGTGGGGCTCACCTGGGGGCACGTGGGGCTCACCTGGGGGCACGTGGGGCTCACCTGGGGGCACGTGGGGCTCACCTGGGGGCAGGCAGAGCTCACCTGGGGACATGAGGGGCTCACCTGGGGGCACATGGGGTTCACCTGGGGCACGGGGGACTCACCTGGGGGCACGTAGAGCTCACCTGGGGGCACGTGGGGCTCACCTAGGGGCATGAGGGGCTCACCTGGGGGCACGGGGGGTTCACCTGGGGGCACATGGGGTTCACCTGGGGCACGTGGGGCTCACCTGGGGGCAGGCAGAGCTCACCTGGGGACATGAGGGGCTCACCTGGGGGCACGTGGGGCTCACCTGGGGGCACGTGGGGCTCACCTGGGGGCAGGCAGAGCTCACCTGGGGACACGAGGGGCTCACCTGGGGGCACGTGGGGCTCACCTGGGGGCACATGAGGGGCTCACCTGGGGGCATGTAGGGCTCACCTGGGGGCACGTGGGGTTCACCTGGGGGCAGGTAGAGCTCACCTGGGTGCCTGTGGGGCTCACGGGGCGTGCACCGCCGCCGCAGGGGGTGCCGGCTCACCTTTCAGGGACGCCCAGTAGTGCTTCCAGCGCCTGCGCGCGGCCGGCTCCACCTTCCTGCTCTTCTTGTGCACCAGGAAGTTCTTGACGGCCAGCGCGCCCGCCTTGCGCACCGTGCCCCGCGCCGCGGCCCGCAGCACGTCGGAGCGGCCGGGCGAGCTGGGGGCGCCGCTGGAGTGCTCGTCGCTGTGCGCGGAGCCCGCGTCCTCCAGGCTCTCGCAGTTGGCGGCGCTCAGCTCCAGCTCCCGGCGGAAGTTCTCGTAGACGCCCTGGCGCGCGGCGTCCCCCGTGCTGCTGCCGCTGTCGCTGCCCACGAAGGCGCGCCCGGGCGGCGGCGAGTAGCTGGAGTGCGTGGCATTGGAGCGCCGGGACAGCAGGTCCGTGTCCGTGGCGGCCCCTTCGATCCCGCTGTCTGCGAACTCGCTGCCCTCGCCCGCGTTGACATCCTTGGGGGCCGACAGGGAGGAGAAGACACGCGTCACGCGGAGAAGTCACCCGGCAGCGGCGCAGGGCCGGCCAGGGGCTGTGCGGCTGCAGCGACCCACGGGGCCCTGCCTCCCCGCCGCTCCCACGCCCGTGCCTCCTCCACCGACCGCACAAGCCGAGCAACACCATCACGCGCCCCAGTGCCCACCCGGACCACTGGTGTCCGAGAAGTATTAAAGAAGCAATACTGCAGAGAGGTAACCCTTTCTCCGACTTGGGTAATTAACTAATTGGCAAATCAGCTACTGAGATTCTCCAGCCACCAGCCGAGGGCTCAGCGCCCTCACCCCCTTCGGCCCACGGAGACCTCTGGGACCCTGTGCGGGCTGATCAGCCACCTGCTCCAGAGGTGGGGGTTCCAGTGGGTAGCAAGGATGCGGCTTGGAGACGATGCAACAGCTGACAGCATTTTTTTAAAAATAAAGGGCCTGGTTGGGAGGCTATCCTACAGTGTGGCGACTAAACAGACAGCTAGGGCCCGCCCCAGCCACTCACCCAGCAGGGCCCCATATCCCAGGAGCAAGCCCAGTCCTCATGGGCTGATCGCTGGCTTCTTGCAAACAAGCAGCCTCTCAGGGCACTGAGCTCCACCAGCCCGAGGGGCCCTCTGCTCCAGCGCCGGCTCTCCAGTTACCTCGCCCTTTCAGAGCCCAAGCAAACTCCTCGCTGCCCCTGGGCCAGGTGACAGCTCGGGGCACCTGCCAAGACGCTGGGGGTATCGATTCCCAGTCCCAACCCATTTGGAGCTTCCAGCGCGCCGCCCCAGCTCCGGATGGACATTTCCGGGCCACAGGCGGTCTGCTCGGAGCCCTGAACTTGAACTGCTCTCGACGCTACCGGCAGCCGATAAGCACTAAGGATCAGGACAGCCCCGCAGGGGTGTGGACCTTTCTCGAAAGCAGGGGAGGGAACACCAGTGACCCATAAGAAATGGCAGAGGAAGATCGTGGTTTGGGGGCTTAACTGGGTTCTGAGAGTCCAGTCTCATAAACCGCCAGTTACGGTTTGAATGTATGAAAACTACCGGGATGTTCTGAACCGCCTGAAAAATGAAAGCTTTGGGCGCCCGCGTGCCGAGAGGGCACAGGGCGGAATGAACGGAGCCACTGAGGGCACAGCCCTGGGCGAGGCCCGGACAGGTGGGGGCCCCGGGCTTTGCCTTCACACAAACAGACGGTGACAAGATGGGCACAGCACATGAAACCAAGCCAGAGACACAGGACACAGCCCGGGTCACTCCCACGTGGACTCTGAAAATGTGCGACGCCCAGGACCCACTGAGGGCCGGGGAGATGCGGGTCACTGGGTACAGACACCAACAGTGACGGGAGAACGTTCTGGGGCTCTGATGTGCAGCACGGCCACGCGGGCTGGTAACACGCGTTCGTGTTTGAAACCCACTGAGACAGCAGCTCTAAGTGCCCACACCACAAAAGTCCACATGGGGGTGACGGATCTGCTAGTACTTGGCGGTGGTGATCATCTCACAATGTATATGTCTATGCAATCACCACACTGTACAGCTTCAAAAAAACAGAGCAGTTTACACATGGTGGGAAAGAGTAAGTTCGTAGTGGGAAAACCCAGCAAATACTTCCTCAGCCGGGTGCTCAGGGTTTACTGGTGGCGGACATACAGGGACCCTCTCCACTACCTAAAGCTGTTTAAAAAAGGAAAAGAAAGAAAACGAGGCAACAACAGGAACAGGAAGCAGTTAAGGAACCTTCTAAGGACATTTCCAATGGAATCACAAGGACCCGAGGACGCCGAAAAAAGTGTGGGTGCAGCTGAGATACAGACATGACAGCTGGTCCCCTCCCGTATCCTTGTCCCGCCCGCTCACCGCCACAGATGCTCGTGAAGCACCCAGACCAGTGGGCACAAATCCTCTAGACAAACGGGCACACTGCATCCCCCCAGTTCACTCTGCTGCCCCTTTGGTGCAAGACAGTAATTCTGACCATCGCTGGCTGTCAAGGTAACCGCAGGTCGTGGGGAATAAGACTGAATTTCCCAGACTGTGGATTCCCGTCCGCACGGCTCGGTTCTTCCCCGAGAGTCGTGAAGGAGTCGCCTGAAAACTACGCGCAGGTGTGAGGAGTTCTGTCAGGCAGGGGAAGGCCATGTCTGAGACAAGACTTTCGGACCGAGGACGGAAGGGATCCGGGCACGTGAGTCCCGAGCTCCAGAACAGGAAGGAGCCTTGGAAAGCCTCCCCTGCTGAAGGGATGAGGACGCTGGGCTCAGAGACCCAGCAGCCCGGCGGGTGGCTGGTGGCCGACTGCAGGCTGGAGCCCACATTCTGCTCCCACTATCAGATGCTGGCCTCCACTGTTTCAGGTGGCGTCCAGACAGATTCTAAGAGTATTTCCCAATTTTATTTCTTTTTTTTGTTTGTTTGTTTCCCAATTTTAGAGAGAGAGGGAGGGAGAGAGAGAAACATCAATGTGAGAGCAAGACATGGATCAGCTGCCTCCTGCACACCCTCTCCCAGGGATCCAGCCCACAACCAGGGCATGTGCCCTGGCCAGGAATTGAGCCAGTGACCTTTTGGTGCACGAGACAACACCCAACCAACTGAGCCACACCGGCCAGGGTCGGATTCTGCTTTAGTCAACCTGGCGTCCTCCCTGCTTTGAGGTTCACGGTGCCCCTTCCAGGTGTCCCAGACCCGAGCGTGGCGGAGAGCAGAGGACAGGAAGTGAAGGAAACAGGCAGACCGTCAAGGAGGCGTCTCTCAACCCCCACAGACCGTCCGCCCCTTTGCAGAACACCCTGCGGTCTCCACCGAGTCTGAGCGGAGAGGCCTCGATAGACACTCACCTCCTCATCGGAGCTGAACATCTGCTCATATCACCTGACAGGGACCCCCGCTGTGTACGTTGGACTCTGGCGCGGTCCCTCCGGGAGAGATGCCCGCGGGCCCCAGCTGACCTTGGCACCTCGAGAGCACACAGCCCGTGGCCACCAGCGCTCTCCGTCCAAGATCCTGGCTGGCTCCACCTCGTCTCCATGGGTGGTTAATCAGGCTCCGTGGTAAATACCTCCCCAGTGACACGTCACCCAGCCTGTCGGGAGGACCCAGCCCCTCCTTGGTCATGAGGCTTGAGATGCTCCAAATACCCAGCAGCCCGTGCTCCAGCGCCGTGGGCAGGGATGACGAGCCAGCCAGAGGTGCCACTCGACACCTGGGCGGTCAACCAGGGCCCCGAGCCCCACGCGCAGCCGCCCAGCGGCAGTGGACAGTGCACCACAGCAGGACTGTCCCAGCCCGACGGCTAAGCTCCACGCAAGGAGCGCAGTGTGGACGTCCCTGACTCCGAGACACTCCTGTGGAGGCTCTGGGTCCCACCTTGAAAGACCCCAGCCACCCCTGGAGGCCGCGTCCACGTGCCCTCGTTCTCTGCCGCCAGGGCGCACACCTCTGCTGTGAGTTCCGCCAGCTCAGGAGAAAGGCAGCACCCCGGTGCTCAGACATCGGGGTCACCTTTCCAAGGCTCCGCCTCCCACCCCCGGCCTGAGACACTTCACTCCTGAGAAAGATCCCCCCACTCTCCCCAAGGGCAGATCCAGACATCCACCCCAGGAGGGGCCCTGAGAACCCCCCACTCTCCCCAGCGGCAGGATCCAGACATCCACCCCAGGAGGGGCCCTGAGAACCCCCCACTCTCCCCAGCGGCAGGATCCAGGCATCCACCCCAGGGAAAAGGCCCCCAGATCCTCAGCCGTCTCTGAAGCCAACGCAACGCGTGTCTTATCTCGTTAGACGTTTGCGCGTCTGACCAGTCCTGGAATACCCAACCAGGTACGAATGTTAATCCAACAGTCAGGGGAGATGAGGAAAATGGTTAGACCCGACCTGGCTACTTGGAGAAGTAACACCCACGTGGCCCGTGACGGGGTCTGAGATTTCCTGGAAACGGTTCAAGACAAACCCTGCTGGTGAGAAACACTCCACTGAAGAGGCTTCCGCTCATCACCAGCATTCAGGGGAGCAGCCCTCACCCCGCTCCCCCGGGCGCTCCCTCCGGCCGGGCTGCGGCGCCCCCGCCGGTTTCCTTCCCGTCCGCACTTTCCGTGGGCGCACGAGTGGCCAGCTGCAGCCCCACGCCCTCGGCAGCTGCCAGGCACGCATTCTGCATCCTCAGCCCCGTTAGCTGGGGGACGAGGGCTCCCCGGGACTGAGAGGCCGCTCCCGCCTGTTTTCACTGCCTTGACACCTGGGGGTCACCTGGCGTGAATGTGGGCAGAGGACACCCCGTGGCTCAGGCTGTTTTCTCAGGGGACGTCCAAGTGCAGCTGACCCCGAGCAGTGTGGGCTTGAGCTGGGTGGGTTCACTTAGATGCAGCTGTTTCCCCACAAATGCAGTGAACGTCTTTTCTCTTCCTTGCGGTTTTCCTAACATTCTTCTCGTTTACTGTAAAAATTCAGTTCATGATAAACATGACAGACTAAATATGTATTGATTGACTATTTACGTTCTTGGTGAGGCGTCCACTCAACAATTAAGTTTTGGGGAGCCCAGGTTAGAGAGATGGATTTCTGACTGGGCAGGGGGCTCCCCCATATGTCCCCTGCTGTGTCCAAGGGTCACTGTCCTCGGAGGGACATGTTCTTGGGTTTAATGATGGGGAACACAATTCTGAAATGGTGATTAGCCACCAAGTTTGAGGGTCCAGGGACAACTCGGAAACCAGGAGGACCAATCGGCCACTTGCGGTTACAATCGGAACGCAACCAGACACGCTCCGGTCGGTGCTCGGTTTAATTCCCTGATGAGCCCTCTCCACTTTGCACACCTGTGTGTACCGGAGGGGAGTCGCTGAGCTCGGGGGGGGGGGGTGCTGACCTGCAGAAGCCTTGAGTAGAACAGCTTCTGCCTGTTCGGTTCTAAAATACCCTTCCTCTGGTTGCTCATCCCGTCACCCCCAGAGTGTAAGCGCCCCTGCCCCACCCCCG